ATGTGGTTACCAATTACAATTTCTATGGCATCCTGTGGTTCTCTTGGAGCTCTCCCATCCCAGTTTGATCTTGCTTAATTTGTAACACCAGATCTCATCCCTGGTTGGCTTAAAGGATGCCTTGTAGAGAGAGGGATAAAAATCAGTCCAGATCGATAGTGGTAGGTAACAGCAATCTCGGATGTCAAAGGACAGGGAGACCATCAACAACATCCTAAGACAAAAAGAGACTTAAAAAAAAGTGAGAAATATGGCTATCCAGAAAAAGGTATTAAAAATGAAGCATCTGTGCTCAGAGTCATTATAGGCCTATGACAGATGTGATCTTACCAGCCTCCCACTGTAGCTGCAAATAAAGCCCCCTTCTCTTTCTTCTCTCCCGACAAGGATTAATGAGTACTTGGGATAGCTCTCAGACAAGCAAGCAAAGGCTGTGAACCTTTTCCAACACTGCAATTTATCTTGGGAAGACTATTCACATCGCTTTTCCCTCCCTCCCCAGGCTGGATTATGCTCTGACCTAGCACATTAATCTCCCAAAATATAATAATAATAATAGAAGGAAAAAGAGCTGGACAATTGCCAAAAATAAATTAATAAGCATCTCGTAGCCCTGCTGTGCAGGAGCAAACTGCTCAACTCCCCTGCCACCCATGTCATTTCTAAGCAAAACTATTCCCAGTTTAGATATCCCCTTAAGTGCCCTGCCTGAGACTTTCAGCAATGAATGATGGGATCTGGCATCTCCATCCTGCCTTTCATCCCAACAGCTGCCAGGAAGTTTCTTTATCAAATGCAAACACTACACATTGCTACATTTGCCACTGAAATGTAGTTACCACTAAGTGGAGGAAGAGGCACTTCATGTGCATGTCAAAAAACAATATGAAAAGGGATTTCAAGAGAGAATGTGGTGAGAAAGTTTCAAAAGTTAGGCCTAATCCATATATGGGTTCATAAACATTTGTTAGCTATTTAGTCCAAGTATTTCTCTGGCCATGGTTACAACTGGTGCTGACTTCTGTGGCATCAGAAGCTTCAATTTAATACTGTAACTTCTCTGACCCAAGTGGAAAGCCAAAGAGACAAGTACTTGCAATTTCCTTCCATTATACGAAGAGATTGGTGCTTTAGAAATATTTCTTTACAGAGATTACTCAGAAAATAAGACTTAGAACAACATCAACCAGAAAAGCCTTTATCTCATTGTTAGTAACTATTTCTTCTCAAGCAATGCTTGCCTCTCTGGACTTGAATTACTTGCTGGGATTTCCAAACCCTTGCTCAGGTTTCTGATGGCTCAAAAGCCAAAGCTGGACTATCCAGGTGACCTTCTGCCCAAGTTTTATCAGATTTTATTATTTTTATTCTTCCACCCATATTTCATGCTGCAAAAGGTATCAGATTATCAAAGACAAACATTCATATAGCAAGAAGAAAAGAGACTCCTACCTTTGACTTGACAGCAAGAATGATCTTTGGCAAGGCAACAACTAGGCATTTCAGTGCAATGGTAAGGTACTTGAGTACAAAGTCTGCAATGCCCACAATCCACATGAGGTCGAAGAAGTCCAGTCTCTCGAGGTTGGGTTTCAGAAATATAAGGCTGAAAGGCATGACACCAAGGCTCAGATTCCAGCAAGGAGAAACCTCACTTAAGTTTCTTGATAGCAGCTCTATCCACTGAAGGCTAGGGAAAGCCTAGGAACTCCACTGACCTTCAGTTCTCAAGGGCAATAGGAGTAAGACATGCAGATTAGTCCCAGGGTTCCTCTGGGCATCCTGACTTTGGTCTTGCCCATTCCTACTGAGGTCAGCAAGTTTGCCCACTACCACAAAACAGGACCCAAACATGTACAAAACCTGTTTTGGAAGCCTGCAATCTCCATAACCTACAATCTACACTGTAAATGAGCTTATGGTCTAATGGCAATGCCTTTAGTCCACAGGCTTGCTCTACCACATCTGATTGTAAGAGCTTATCCTTTGAAGTCAGTTGTAGTTACGATTCCCTGGGGAAGTCAAGACCACTATGTCCTCTGAGGCTAGCTTGTCACAGGTAGAACTACTGCAGGGGCAGCAGCCTCTAAAGCTACTTGTGCATGTGAAACATGCTGGTGACAAAGGAAGCATTATGTTAGACATGGTAGAAAGGTCAGGACTTGAGGTGTGTCATGCTCTGATGGTGCTTGCCACTGTTTGAAGCAGAAGAAAAGCTGGGCTGTGTTAAGTAGCAACTCTTACCTGAAACAAAGATCCAGAAAGGTAGTTCCCTTTACATAATGTTATTGACTGGGCTGAACATTTGCCCTTTAAAGAGGGGGAGTCCAGGACAGCAGAACTTCATATAGCAATGGGTGGAAGCTACTGACCTAAGCAGCAATGAGGACTGAACCCTACTCAGACTGAAATACCAGGATTCCTCTTCAGGAATTTACCTGCTAAAGCCTCATGGTAGAAAGCCAAAAACTTAAAACAAAACCAAAAGTAAAATAATCAACCCAGAATGAAAAGCCTGAACGTGAATTTAAAATACTCACAACACTGGCACAGCACAACAGGCAAAATTACACCCTAAAAACAGAAACAGAATCAGAGACTTTACTACTATTCATGCACTAGGGGAAAAAAAAAAAGCAAAAAGTAAATAAATTAGGAAATTAAAAGTAAGCCAGAAAGAAACAAAACCAAAACAGCTATTTCTGATTTCCCAAGCCTGCCTTGTGAATAGTCACAGGTCCCCACACACCAAGCAATAGATACACCAGCCCAAGCAGGCACCACCACAATGCTGGGAGGATCAAGGCTTGCCAGTGAAGCTGTTACCCAGTCTGGTCCCTGTTAGTATCCCGTGCCCTAACCAGTGTGTTGGATGGCCCCAATTTGCTGAAAGCCTTTTATTTTAGATGATCTGTCCTTTATTTCAAACTAGTCCCATTCATGCTTTTCACCTTAACCACCTTCTTAGAGACACAGTTTTCCTGTGGTGCAGACAAATTTCTCTTAATGCTCTCACACCTTTCTGCCACACCTGTTTCTTCTCTTCCATTCCCTCCTGCAAGCCCTATACAGAGTAGCCCACAGTTTGCCATCTCACATTTGGACCCACACATACAAACCTTCTCACCTCTCCCCCTTTCTAGAAACATTTACATACACAGCTTCCCAAATACTTTAGGGGCAATTCCAAAGGATACCAGGGTTGTGGGCAGACCTTGTCTCTTCCACTGACTAGACAGTATCAGTGGGAAGAAGCAGGGAAGCAACGAAATAAATGACAGAAAAAAACATAGCCAAGAGTCATGTAGCCACAATTCAACTGATGCATGTGGCACACGTTGTATTTTCAGTCTGAAGTTCTAAGTGGTCTCCAGTGGGACAAATACATTTTTCATTGGGAAGATAATTTCTATCTTCTTAGTTATGAATATAAAAATCTTTTTCTCACATAACTAGGTTTGACATTGCTCCATTCCTTCCTATTTATTCTACTAGCACTTCCTTGCTTAAGTTCTTTGCTTTCCATATGTCATTTAATCCTTGCTTTATAATAGGCAGGGATAGTGCTGAACCATATCTCTGGGTACTAACTTGTCTGTGTTTGAGAACTGCTTCAGTCGCAGTCTGAAAGTGGAGGCTATATTAGTTACCTCAGATCCAAATGCCTCCAGGCCCTGAGGACACTGGAGTAAAACACTATGATTTCATCTCCTGTAATAGACTCAAAGCTTGATGGACTGAAAGGAAAACATTATAGGAAGTGGAAAATCAGTGGGACAATCTCTTATCTGCTTCCAACAACTGCTCTTTATGTTCAGTCACAGAGGTCAGAATGCAAATTCAGAAGCCCCACTACAAAAATGTGCTTTGATACCACACTGGTTTGATACACAAGACAATTGCAAGTGTACATGTTGCAAGCAGCAACACTGCAGTGTGTCATCACACCCTGGCCCATTCAGACACTGCTTATGTCAGTCATTGGTAGGAACATAGTTCTCTAGTAGAAGCATCACACACGCTCTTTTCCTCCATTGAAAGTTATTACAAAGATGTAACAAAGCAAATACTTTCAGTATGCACATTTCCTCCCAAAGTGTGGGGAAAAGTGGGTTTTCCTCTTTTCCTCCCTGGCAATTATCATTTACTTCCATCATTAACAATGGAAATGTTGCCCACCTGTTGTAGAGCTGCTGAGAGCTGAATGCGTAAAGCAAGTACAAGGTGTTTCCAGTGAGAAAGGCCAGGATCCACAGGACAACCAACACTGATCTCTTCTCCTGAGCAAGAAAACAGAAGCAGAGAGGATAAAATCAAAGTCTCAATGACTGTGCTGAGCCTTTGCTGAAAAGTGCAAGACCAACCCAGGGGACACAAATATGCCACTAAGTGTTCAATAGTTTATTTACAAAGGACTAGGGCTCAGAAATAGGCTGTAGGTTAAGACATACAGAAACACAAGGAGAAATGGCTCTCACTCAGCCAACCTTTTAACATAAAATAAGTTGAGAGAAATTAAGCAAATACATTAGTGACAATGACAGCCTTACTTGCAGAATTTAGTTTGCAAAGTTGGGATCTTTCTTGGGACATCTAAATTCTCCTGATATTCAAAATGCAGTTTGACAAGCAGGTTAAAACAAAAAGGAAGAAAAAAGTCCATGTGTTGTCCTATAATTCTGAGCTGTCACCTGTTTGGAAGGACACTTTGTCAAAGGGGTGTTTTACAAATAGATCCAAAGTCACACAGAAGGTTTAGCTAAATCTAATATAACATAACCCATCACTGCACGCAGCACCTGTGAATGTGATCGGGATGCCTGGAGGTTCTAGAACATGCATTTTTGATTGAAGAAATAATTAAAGGTCAAAAGAAGTGCAAATTTTGCTTTTCAAAAGACATGGAACATTACAGATGGAAGTGGACAGCAGAAGATCTTGTCTGGTGTAATATCAGAGAGTAAATTTTACTCCTGGGAGGAAAAATTCAGCATTTTTCTTGCGAGCTGATTTATTAATAGCTCTTTGTAGCTATTCAACAGCCAGGGATGTTAAGGTGAGATTTAAAGCAGGTGGATTAAGGGGCATGCTGCTGCAAAGACAAAGGTGCAAAGGGCAAGGCAACAGCAATCTATTACATGACTGTGCAATTTATCTGTTCTTTCAGCACTGTAACACATTTATTCCACTGCTGCTGGTAGATATAAACATACATTTGTGCCACTCATGTAATTTTTACCAAAGAAAGCAATTCTAGTCTTGTGCTTTCAGTGCTGCTGAAGTATTCTGCTGGCACTGAAGATGATAAGACCTGAAAAGATCTGCTGGTTTCTTTGTATTTTAAGCATGCTATCACCATTATCAAGACACTAACAAGCAATACAGCTACAAAATCCTTCTGCTGAACACCTCAAAACAGTCTCCAAATGCTAAGAAATTAAATCTCATCATTAATAAGTAAGATAGGTTTCAGCAGCTCTGTGGTACATAACGGGAAACTGAGGTGCACAGGAGTGCTTGAAGATGCACTGACAGTAGTGGCAGAGCCAGGAGCAGATTACAATATCCCTGACCTTTCCTCTCTTGTGAAAGTGTACCATAATAAAACAAAAAGAGCAGGATATAAACTGTGGGAAAGCATCAACAGGGAGAAGTAGGAAGAGGAAGTAAGGACTACAGCACAGTACTCTTAATCTGACAGATCTGTATGCACAAAACAGCACTGAGCCCTACATTGCAAAAGAAGGTTCAGCATAGGCATTGTTTTGTGTACAGTGATGTTGCCTGGGACCATAGGAGAGTAAGAGGCTGTACTCACCTTCAGAGCCACCTGTTCCCGGAGTGTTGAGTTGGCATATGCGAATGTGCTGGCCATACCAATGCACACAGCAATCCCTGTATGGAAAGACACTGTCAGAGAACACAAGGCTGAGCAGGAGGATCTTCAGTCCTAAGCCATTTGATGTCAGCACCTCAAGCTTAGGAAAAAAAATGACTGGGTGATATTCTGGTTGCACTGAATAAAACAGTGATTAAACCAGGGCTGTGTAGACTCTATGTAAAGTTAAAATTCAATCCAAATGAAAATGAAGCTACTGCAGTGAGCATTTGCCACCCAGTCCAATACAGACACTCCATCCTAATGTCAGGTTCTGTGCTGAAGGAGAAGTGCTACAAGTTGTGGCTGTGTTGTACAAACAGAACACGGCTAGATGACAGTATCGGGTCAGCAGCTTGTGGAAGACAAGGCTCACTGTCACAACCATATAGGATATCAAGTTCAATGAGCAAGATGTTTCAGACATGAATCAATACCTGGTTTGGGGAATACTGGCAGAACTGCAAGTTGGACTAAACTCAAACATTATTGGCTTCCCTGTGATGATAATCTCAGCATATTACTCCCATAATGAGTAAGGATCTTCAGAGAGGCCACACATACAATTTCATGTAAGAGGAGGATTAGAAGAACGGATTTGACAAGAGCACTGAAGGGCTGAAATACTCAGCAACTATTAAAGAAACCTATATAGACACATTCTTTTGGGAACTCTGAAGGTCCCAACTGTAAGACACAACTGCTGATGCCATTTGGCTTGATTTCACAACTACCATCCTTCCAGCTAGAAAAGTGTCTCATCCCTCTGAACCCTTCTGTGCTACATAGAAGCCTTTGCTAGTCACTAACGTAAGCTTTTCCCACCTCTCCTAGAGAGAGGTCTGAGGGAGAAGCCTTGGTAACATCCTCAGCCGCTACAGGAATGTCAAGGAGAGATTAGGAAAAGGAACAGAACTGGTCTCCCACAGGTCAGGACAAGAAACAGATGAGACTGAAAGTAGGGTGAATTTATCAACTGCATTACGCCATGCATTTAAATATGTCCCTTTCAAGCTACACTACCTCTAGACACTGTTATGCAGATGTCTAGACTCCACAGCATGCTAAAGCTCCTTAACCATTCTCTAATACACTTACAATCCAGAAAGGATAGATGCTTACCAAGCTTGTGCTGGAAACAGACTTTAGCCAGGAGGATCAAGATGAAGGGAAGTCCCTTCTGCAGCCAACCAATCACAGCTTTTAACTCTGAAAGAGCTGGGGCTGGAGTTCCAGCTTGTTCATCACCACCTTCCTCCGCGTGTCCGTGGCGGTCCCCTCCTGCCATGTGCAGCAGGGATGAACCCCGGTGATGGCCATGGTGGAAATGATGGGACGACTGCCGGTGGTGGAACGGGGCTGCCTCTGTACGACTGCTCCCTTCCTCCCTTGGGGCTGGCATCTGAATGAATACTTCTCCTCCTCCTGCTGACCTGACTGGAACGGGGTGGCTGTGATGGTGCCTGAGGGGATGCCTGCCAGGCCTGAGAACAGCTGCTGTGGTGAGGAAGCTTCAGCCTTCAGGCTTTCAAAAACTCCACTTTCATCCACGCTGGTCTCAGAACTGACTGTCTGGCTCCGGTTTCTGCAGTGGACAGAGATGAAAGTGATTAAACCAAAATGAGTGCCACAGAACATCTCAGTCTTTTAGCCCAGTCCTGACTGTAGTCTGTTATGAGTTCCTCACACACTATCAGAACATGAAGGTCTCCAGATGACAGATGTTTTTCCCTCTAACCGCTGTTGGAAAGTTGCAGAAGTAGAGGCCAGTAACCAGATTAAAAGATCAGGGTATTTTGAAAGAACTGATCACAATGCCACAGTTCCTTCATAGAATCATAGACTGGTTTGGGTTGGACAGGACCTTAAGATCATTCAGTTCCAACTCCCTGCCAAGGGAAGGGACACCTCCCTCTAGACCATGTCACCCAAGGCTGTGTCCAACCTGGCCTTGAACACCGCCAGGGATGGAGCATTTACCAGTTCTCTGGGCACCCTGTGCGGGGGCCTCACCACCCTCACAGTAGAGAACTTCTTCCTTATATCTAACCTGAACTTCCCCTAAGTTCATCTAAGGAACAGAGTTCCCAGACACTCCCTTTACTTTTGGAGGAACCAAAGAAACAACACATCAAATACCAAATTCAACATAGTCTATAATGATTTTAATATTTCAGGAAAAACATACAAACCCCCATGTAAATTGACACAGCACAACCAAGACAGGTCACATGAATCAAGCTAATTCAAAGAAATGGCCTACCCCCCCATATCTTCTGATTTTATTGAGGAATGATCACTACTTGCCCACTGATGAGTAACACCATCAAGACACAGAGTCAACTGCGGAAGAGGAAGGTTGAGAACTGCTTGTGTGTCCCTGACCCAACAAGTATTTTAAGTGAAGGATGTGCTCATGGGTCAAGAGAACTTGTTTTATTTTTATATTCTTGGCAAATTGGACATGGATGTACCCAAATTACTGGGCACTGGACAGAATTAGATCTGGCACCGATTCTTTCCTGAGCTTGTTGGATTACAGCCAGATTCCCAAAAGAAAGGCTTAAATATCTTCATCGTAATGCCAAAAGAAAAAAAGGCTTTCTTCACCTGAACTCAGTGCTGCTGAAGTGAATATATGTGAAGTTTAAATCACAGGGAACAATACAGGTAACCATAGAACAATCATTACGCAGACAGCAAACACCTCTCCAACTTGCAAAAGGAGAGTAAAGGATAAATAAAACTCAGCAAGAGGCAAAGCCCACAAATAAGGCATGTTGCAGAGCTTCAGTCTCTCTTGATTTCAATCCTAGGAGATCTCTAACTTTAGAAATAGTGGTCCCAAGCTGAGACAGCACATGTGGGGCCCTTAACCCTCTCTCTCCCATGGGTTCCAAAACCTCCCCAAGCATCTTACAGGGCACAGAGCACTGCCTTTCACCTCACTCTGGAGATAACTTCAAATCCCTCTGGGCATACCTTCCACTAAGTAAACTCCTAATAAGGCTTTTTATAGTGACACCCCATTCCCAATGCCTCTCCACAGGCTCCAGCAAGGAATCAAGTCAACAAGACATCACTCACCTCTTTTTGGTTCAAAATATTCATCAACCAGATCTTGGATTTTACACCTGACATTACAATTCAGGGATGTATACACAAGACAGGGACATAATGTGACAAGACTTATGTCTGGGAACATAACAAGTTGGATGGGACCCCACGTCACAGATAAAGACACAATTGCTGTTTGGAACAATACTTCCAGGATACATGACTCTGCTTTCAACAGGAAAGAATTCATCAGGGACATATTTAAAAACAAATAAACAAGGATGAAATTGTGAATTTGCTGAAGTTAACAGAAGTGAAGACCAGTAGCAACAGCATTTCACTCTATGGTTAGGAAACCCTCAGCCTATGTTACTGACAATATTTACACACCCTGTTAAGAAACAGGAGCATTTATAAAAACCAACTGACATTACTCTGCTTATCTTTTGCACTCAACAATAGACACCTATCCTGAATATATTTTAACCATTCAAACAATCCTGAAGTGCCTTACAAGTTTGCACAGACTCAGAAAGCTCTGTTACAGATGAGAGGGCCCATACAACACCTTATGTGCCTCTCAAGCCCCAGCCTTGCCTGCTGACATAAACCCCACAGCCTGCACTGAGGCTTGGGCAGCATCATGCAGAAAAAGTTGAAGATGGCTTTCTTTTCCCCTGAAATTTAGAATGGTACCATGCTAGAAGTGGTCATGACATCAAGCTTCACCTCTACTTGCAAAGCCAGTATGACATACCCATCTTTCACTTAAAATCTAAGCTCAGCCAGAGCAATGAAATTCATCAGTTCCATCTGTGTCTTAGAATAATTAGATTAGTTAAGGAAAAAAACCAAAACAAAACCAAAAGTCAAGCTCTAACCCTGGGAAAGCACAAGGGAATATTTAGTACCAGAACAATAACAGTGGCAAGCCTCCCTTGCTGATATTATAATTACAGAAATGAATTACAGCTTTTTGTATTCTACTTCTAAATATTCACATACATGAAGCTAGATACAGATTCTGGAATGATGTAAAGGATCATCCAAGTTCTTTATAAAATACTAAGTCATGGTAGTTGGGAGTTTCAGAAGAGCAGACTTTTAAAATACCTTAATAACAGCATAAACAGCCTCTGTTCATACAGATGGATCTTTTCAGATTGATAGTGCTCAGGATCCCCACAGGACTGTGCCATGAATCACTGTTCTAGAGCTTCCAAACGTCCTGCCTATGCTAAGCCAACTGCCTCCATGTGTGCCATACTGGATCATGAAACCTGAAACACTGCAGGTGGTAGCAGTCAATAACTGGAATGTAAGAGAAAAGTAAATCTGTCTCTAAACTCTCTAAAGTCAGGCAGAAAGCCTGGCCACACTACATGCACAGGACGTATACACTTCCCTTAATTTTGAGTTTTCCTCTTCTAAACCACAGCACGCACTTAAATCAGAACATTCCCTTCTGGAGAGGAAAATGGAGGGAAAAAGAAGGAAAAAGATTACCTTTCAGGAGGAACATTGTCAGTGTTGCTGCTATGCCGTCTCTGCATTTTCCTCAAGACCTTAAAGCACAGCACACTCAACATTAATGTTGGAGGTCAACAGATCCCAGTGTGACTCCTAACAAAGGCCCACAGAGTCAGAGGGTTGTGAGACCCATTCAGCTAGTGACATGGTTGGCATAAATCATTGGCTTCAATGAAAGGCCACCTCAAGCTTGCATTTGTTTCTTAGTGCACTTGCAAAGGAACAGAATTCAAGTGGCAAATGGAAGCACACACAGAGGTCTCCAAGCCGGGCAGGAACTAGTCACATCTCCTTTTGCAGCTCATGGCAGTCGTCACAAGGAGCAGGCAGGTTTGTGATTCGATGTTCTGATAGAGAACTTGAGGACAACAGAGCAGCTCTTGCTGTGACATGGAATCAATGTACACTCTCTGGAAGTGAAATCCCTTCTTCCTCTTCCGAAGAAACTTGCTTTCTAAGGCAAAACTGAGAGGGAGGAAAAAAAGAAAACACATAAACATTTTAAAGGAAAAAATACAGTCAGGTCAGGAGAATATTGTTTCAAGTAAGCAACCCATTCCTTTTAAACCACAAAAATGCCATTAGCAAACTCTGCACAATAGTCATAAGTAATATGCACATAAGCAAAAGATCACATGTTCCTGCTCCACTCATTCTGGAATTGTTAGCATAAAGTAAGGTCTGGAGTGGGAAATGAGAAGGCATTGGAATTGTATTAACTTCAGGAACTTCTTCTAGAACAAGGACAGAAGTTCTTCATTTAGTTACTTAAATCTCTGCTTTCAAGTGTCTAATTTTAAGAGAATAACCTCAAACACATTCCACCTTCTAAAAATAAAGTTAATTCAAAGGCAAAGAACACAGAATCATCATCAAGGCACAGCACAGAGTAACTGGAAAATACTTAGACTGCTTAATGTTACATTAGTTACACAAAACCTGAGGAATGGGCTGGTTTTGCAAGTGATTTGTCCAGATTCACACAGGCATTTCATAGAAGATGGGGAGAGACATCCTTTAAATATTGAAGTTTGATCCTACTCAGCCCTAGACTACAGTAGCTACTGAATAAAATGTAAAAGGCTCTAAATACTTTTAAATACCAAAAGTTGCAACATTACTTATAACATTTCATACTGCATGAATATATGTAAATAAACATGTAGCCATATATCTGTATTCTGTAAAGGCACAAGAACATTTCCTAGCTGTCTGTAAGCAGAGCTATGGAAGCTGAGATCTAGAAAATACAGAATATTTATTTCTGCTCCCCCCCAATATTTTCACCTTTTCATTCACATTCTTTACTTTCAGTGACCCACAAGCCCATGGAAAATTGCATTAAATTCCATTTTTATCCCTTGGTAAAGCCCAAACCATGCAGGTCACAGCTCATAAACCGACAGTTGTGTTCACCATGCACACCTGCAGTAAAAGCACATGTAGTTTGCGCAGCCCTCAAGATAAGTTACAAATCAGTGACAGAAGAAAGTGTGTTTCAGTTAAATCACAGAGGTAACGGTATCAAATTTGTAAAAAGATGAAGATAAAAATGTTAACATTTACAAAAAAAGAGAAAGACTCTTGGTTTGGAACACCCAGTCTTGCAGAACCCCGTGAATGAAGTGGGTGGAACTGAGACAACACTGGATTTCAGTCATCACTGACAGAGAACACAGAGGTTTTAACATGAGCTGCCAACTCTGCACATCCCCTTTACAGTTAATATAAATACATGCAGTCCTATATAAATAATATTTTGCATCATCATATATGACAGGAAAAACACAGCTTTCAACACAGTTTAGGGAGAGGACACCCTAAGTTATCAACATTCTCTTTCCTACAGATTTTGATCTTTAACTCCCAGCACTTTTTTAATCTCCAGCTGTATGTTTCAATTTCTGTTGTGTTTTCAGGGCCAAAATTCATTTTCTAAGGATCTGGTTTGTGCAGTAAAAAAAATACATTACAGATTTTCTTTTTTCCAGATTTTTTTAAAGCTGCATTTGTAGTAACAACATTACTACTGCCTTCCCTGCAGTTATTTAATCCTAACCTGACAGTATCTCTGTCAACTTTATATATAATATTATCCCTTTTTAACCAAAATAGTAATTAAGACATGATGAAAAGGCCAAGCCAGGCTAACCCATGCGGGCAGAGCTGTCCTCACTGTGAACAACTTTGGGGTCACTGCTTATAAAGATATCTTTCCATCTTCTTGTGCTACAAGCTGAGAGTTAGAGTCTGTGGGGAGATAACTCTGCAACTTGGAAAATCCACTCTCTCCTAGTCCACTAGAAGTCTACCAGACTGTAATGTGGGGTGAAATCATGTTCCCAAATGACATGTTTCTCTCTATGGGGAGACCATTCTTTTGCCATCAGCCATGAAGGGGACAGTGACATGAATGCCAAGTACTGGAGACTCAGGACTTTGTGAGATGTATGTGTCTGTTCTGCCTAGAGACCTACAGATTTAAGAGAATTTAAACAGATTTTGTTCCAAAAGGCACTCAGCTTCCATACCAACTGCTCCTGCCTTTCACAGATTAGGGGTTTTCATCTTGCAACACCTGAACATCTTTTAACAGTACCTGAAGAACAGGTTTAACCAGAGGTGCAAGGTGCCAGGATGGGAGAGAGGGAAGCTCAAGAGGGTGCAGACATCTCATACATGGAGTGCTTCAGATAATCCAAGATGATCCAAATTTCAAAGTCATCACAGGTCCTTCAAGCTGGGTGATTGAAAGGCACCAGACCACAGTGCTCAAACAGGCGCATCTGTAAGAAGCACATGCATAGCGTCATTTTCACCATAGCAGTGTCAGTTTAAGCTCCTCATCTCCTTGGAAAAGATGGAGAGAAGCAGGAAATCCTGGTGCTTCAACCCCTGCACATGATCCAACAAGGCCATTTCCCTCTGGGATTGGGATCTGCAGCCCTGCTCACTGCACAGACACTCCCTGAGTGCCTGCTGGGCTTTGCTCTGCCTTCATTGTGTGTAACACAGACACACTTGCATCCATGTGTGCAATCATAGAATGGTTTGGGTTGGAAAGGGCCTTAAGATCACGCAGGTTGCTCCAAGCCCCTGTGTCCAAGCTGGCCTTGAACACTGCCAGGGATGTCTCAAGGCTGGCTTTAAACTCTGCAGGGGATGTGCCAGCCACAGTTTCTCTGGGCACCCTGTGCCTCGCCACCCCCGCTGTGAAGAACTTTTTCCTTATATCTAACCTGAATCTCCCTTGTTTAAGTTTAAACCTATTACCCCTCATCTTATCAGTACAATCCCTGATGAAAAGCACTGTATATATACACAGACATACAGATCTACACACGCAGTAACATTCAAACATATACATGTACACACAGTGAAAGGCATAGGCGAGGCCTTTTATCTTCCAGTTCGGTGGGGGAAGGAGATTCCCGCTGGAGTTTGTGGCTAAATGCCCACCGCGGGGAGGGGGGGAGCAGCCGGGCCTCGGGACCAGCACACCCG